GATAAATAGATAAATAGATAGATAGATAGATAGATAGATAGATAGATAGATAGATAGATAGATAGGTAGATATAGACCCATGATAGACAGTAAATATGATAGGTAGGTAGGTAGGTAGGTAGGTAGATAGATAGATAGATACATAGATAGATACATAGATAGATACATAGATAGATATAGACCCATGATAGACAGTAAATATGATAGGAGGCAGGTAGGTAGGTAGGTAGGTAGGTAGGTAGATAGATAGATAGATAGATAGATAGATAGATAGATAGATAGATAGATAGATAGATAGATAGATAGATAGATAGATAGATAGATATAGACCCATGATAGACAGTAAATATGATAGGAGGTAGGCAGGTAGGCAGGCAGGCAGGCAGGCAGACAGATATAGACCCATGATAGACAGTAAATATGATAGGTAGGTAGGTAGGTAGGTAGGTAGATAGATAGACAGACAGACAAGATAGATAGATAGATAGATAGATAGATAGATAGATAGATAGATAGATAGATAGATAGATAGATAGATAGATAGATAGATAGATAGATAGATAGATAGATAGATAGACAGACAGACAGACAGATAGATAGATAGATAGATAGAGCCATTGCCCTGTGATCTGGCTGGTTTTGCCCTCCAGTCTGGCATCACCTGTGGACGCTCCCCATCCGTTCCTCTTACCTGCCAGGTGTGTTTGCCCCAACTCTCTTCTCCAAAGTCTACGGAAGGCTGGTCTGTGGGGAATGCCAGAACTTCACCCAGGAACTCCCCGGGCACTACGTCTGCCAGAGCTGTCACTTCGATTTGGTGAGCATGACCTTCCCAGGGGAAGCAACGCCTGCTCCATGTCAGCCCCGGATGAGAACTGAGGCCCCGAAGTCGGGCCCAGCCTTGGCACCTCCGCCCAACCGCCTGGGGATGGCAGTTCCCAGCTGGGCTGGGGAGGCTTGGATTTGTAGTCCCAACGCCCCTGAGGGTCTTAAGTTGGCATCCACCGGTCAGCTAAGAAGCAGAGGGCCTGCTGGGTTGTTTTGGGGGGTCAAAGGGGGTTTAGATGTGTGGCCTCTGACTGGGCATCCCTGACCCCCCCCTCTTCTGTCTTGGCAGATGGAGAACAACGGGACTCTGTACTACAGCCATATCGAGTGAGTATCCCTTGCTGGGAATTTTTATTTTATTTTATTTTATTTTATTTTTTATTATTTATTTTATTTTATTTATTTTATTTTATGTATTATTTTATTTATTATTTATTTTATTTTATTTTATTATTTATTTTATTTTATTATTTATTTTATTTTATTATTTATTTTATTTTATTATTTATTTTATTTTATTTTATTTATTTTATTATATTATTTATTTTATTTTATTTTATTATTTATTTTATTTTATTTTATTTATTATTTATTTTATTTTATTTTATTATTTATTTTATTTTATTATTTATTTTATTTTATTAATTATTTTATTTTATTATTTTCTTTTATATTTATTTTATTTTTATGTTATTTTTATTTTATTTTATATTTATTTTATTTTATTATTTTCTTTTCTTTTATTATTTTACTTATTATTTTCTTTTCTTTTATTATTTTATTTATTATTTTCTTTTCTTTTCTTTTATTATTTTCTTTTATTTTTCTTTTATTATTTTCTTTTCTTTTATTATTTTTTTTATTTCTTTTCTTTTATCTTATTTCTTTTTATTTTATTTTATTTTATTATTTTTATTTTATTTTATTATTTTCTTTTATATTTCTTTTCTTTTCTTTTTCTTTTCTTTTTATTATTTTCTTTTCTTTTATTATTTTTTTTATTTTTTTCTATAAAGCCCCTGGAGGCTTTCATGAAGAGACTGGACAGCCACTTGTCTGAAATGGTACATAGGGTCTCCTGCCTGAGCAGGGGGCTGGACTAGATGGCCTCCAAGGTCCCTTCCAACTCTGTTATTCTCTGTGTTGCTTTCTGTGTGGCAGACCCCTGGTCTACACGGTGTCTTTGATGCTCCCAGCCGCCTACTTCATCGGGCTCATCTTCACCCTGAAGACCCACTCCCACATCTACGACATCCACATCAGCGACTGTCACAGTAAGTTGTCTTGGCCTTGATGGCACCAGTCGCTAAACGAGGACTCCCAGTATCTTGGCTGCCTTAAGCCCTTCCTCGCTCATTGCGACCCCTTCCTTCTAAGGTGTGGTGAGCCCCCCCCCCACATTTCCTGGGTGCCAGGAGGGGTATTGTTCTTGAACTCCACGGAGTCCTCGGCTTACGACCACTTTTTTTTCCGTATTTTTATTGAGTTTAATCAAAATACGAAATGCACAGAAACACAAAGCAAAATGAAAATAACGGGGAAAAGGGGGAGGAAAAGTAGAACAGGAAAAAGTGACTATGCTGGTCAGAAGGTCGCAAAAGGAAGGGGATCACGTGACCGCAGGACACGGCAGCCGTCGTAAATAGGAGTCAGTTGGCAAGCGGCCTGAATTTTGATCACATGACTGTAGTGTGTGTGTATATGTGTGTGTGTGTGTGCGTGCTGCAACGGTCGTAAGTGTGAAAAGTGTGAGACTGGACAGCCATTTGTCTGAAATGGTATAGGGTTTCCTGCCTGGGCGGGGGGTTGGACTAGATGACCTCCAAGGTCCCTTCCACCTCGGTTATTCTGCTATTCTTTCTTTCTTTCTTTCTTTCTTTTCTTTCTTTCTTTCTTTTTCTTTCTTCTTTCCTTCCTTCCTTCCTTCCTTCTTCCCTCCCTCCCACCTTTCTCCATCACTGGAGATCTTTAAGAAGAGACTGGACAGCCATTTGTCTGAAATGGTATAGGGTTTCCTGCCTGGGTGGGGGGTTGGACTAGATGACCTCCAAGGTCCCTTCTAACTTTACTACTACTACTACTACTACTATTATGATGATGATGATGATGATGATGGAGGATCATCGCACAGTCAGCCAGATGTTTAGACTGGATTTGGCATTTTTGTTTACCTATCGAGTCCTCACCAAGGACTTGGGATAGGCAGATGTGGATTTTTATTATTATTATTATTATTATTATTAATTATTATTATTATTATTATTATTATTATTATTATTATTATTATTACTACTACTACTACTACTACTACTATTACTATTATTACTATTATTATTAAAACTGGTCATAAGTCACTTTTTTCAGTGTTGTTGCGACTTTGAACGGTCACTAAACAAACTGTCGTAAGTCAAGGACCGCTTGTACTTTTGGGGGCAGGGCCACACAGGTGTGTTGAAGTGACTCGTCCATCTTGAGCATCTCGAGCCAGACTTTCGTCCTGGCTCCACTTACGACCTCAGCCCTACCCTTCCTTAAACCCCGCCCCCCAAAAGCTCTCCCCTTCACTGTAGAAATAAACTTTTGGGGGTGCTGTTTATCGGTAAACTTTTCCTGGGGGGGGGGTCCATGTTGAGCCAGAGATGAAAGAAGCTGCAATCCAGCCCAGCCTGAGGAATCTTTTCCGGCTTCCTTGTAGTGCCCGGTCACCATCACAGCGCTGTGGTCCACTGGTCCCGCTGGAGAGCCGTGGTCATTCTCCTGGTGGCCACCCTAGGCATGTCCGCCTGTGCCGACCTGGCCACCGAGCACATCAGCCCCATTCTGAACAACTCCCCCGTCTCTCAGGTAACGAGGGAGGGGGCCCGTGGGGAGGGGGAGTCCCCGGGGTGCTTCTCCAGAAGGGGCCCAACTGGCGGGAGATCAGTGGGACCAGTTGCTGGGAAATCCGGGTCGTTTCCAGGTAAATAGATTACCTGTGGGGTCCCTGGTGCTCTCTCAGCTGGGTGGTTTTCTCGCAGACGTTTCATGACCCAACTAAGTAACGTTATCAGTTCTAGAAGGGAGTGGGGTATGTGGAGAGGAGGAGGAGGACTGTGGGGTCCCCGGTGGTCTCTGAGCTTGGTGGTTTTCTTGCAGACGTTTCATGAACCAATTAGGTAACATTATCAGTGCTAGAAGGGAGAGGGGTTTGCGGAGAGGAGGAGGAGGAGGAGGAGGAGGAGGAGGAGGACTATGGTGTCCTTTGTATTCTGTGAACTCAGCTGTTTGCTTGTAGACGTTTCGTGACCCAACTAAGTAACATCATCAGTGCCAGAGTATTAATCATTGCAACATCTGCAAAAAAACCACCAAGCTCAGCACCAAGGACCCCACAATAGTCCTCCTCCTCCTCCTCCTCCTCCTCCTCCTCCTCTCCACAAACCTCCCTCCCTTTCTAGCATTGATGATATTACCTAGTTGGGTCATGAAATGCCTGCAAGAAAACCACCAAGCTCAGAGAACACCAAGGATTCCACAGTCGTCGTCGTCGTCCTCCTCCTCCTCTCTGCAAACCCCACTCCCTTCCAGCATTGGCGATGTTACCTAGCTGGGTCACAAAACGTCTGCAAGGAAACCACCAAGCTCAGAGGACATCAAGAGCCCCACAATTCAATCCAGAGCTACAAAGATTCTCTTCGGTTGGTAACTTATTATTACTGTTAGTTGTCTGCAAAATTGTGGTGTGACGTCTGCTGAAAAAATCGCCATCTTGTCCAGCCCTTTGTTGAACGGTAGTGCTTGATCCTGGATGCCAAGGTGGATCTAACTTTGAACCCTTACCTTGTCCTCCCAGTACTTCATCGGGGTGACTGTGCTGGCCATGGTGCCCGAGATCCCAGAGTTGATCAACGGAATCCAGTTTGCCTTGCAGAACAATCTCAGCTTGAGGTAGGTGCCTCCTTCTACGAGGTTGTTGATCTGATAAGGACGGTTGTGATGTCCCCCTTTGAAGACCACCTTGGTCTTTTGAATGCATTTGTCTCTTGGCCTTGCAGTGGATCAATGTTTCTCCACCTTGGCCCCGTTGAGTAGACTTGAGCAATCAGAAGTAGATACGGAGAGGCTAAGGTTTATTAAGACCGTTAGATATTGATTCGCCTTTTCAGCTACATTTTCTCTTTTGCTCCGGTCTTCACAATGGAGTGCAAAGGTGGGAGGGGTGATGTCTAGGCGACCAAGGGTCAAGGCTACTCAAAGGAGAAGAGCACTGTTTCCATAACAAGAAGACTACTATGGGACAATGTGAACACTGACTGGACAAGGGTGAGGGAGTCTGTCGTTTGACTAAGCAAGCCTTCGTGCGGGAAAACCAGAGTTGGTTTTGCTTCTTCTGTGCCAATGTAAACTTTCAGTAAAGTATTATACTCTTCATAAAATCATGTTCCAGGAGTTTTTTTTTTTTCTGGAAATGCCAACTGGACAGCGGACAGATAATGGCTGCCCAACGGACTCACGGTAACCCCGAGTGACTTACAGAAATAAAACCCCCAATACAAACCCCAATAAACCAGTGATAACATTCAAACTAACCACTTGATGGGCTCCTATCGCCCTGGTGTGCCCAGGCCTGATGCAAAACCAGGTGTTCAGGGCCAGAATAACAAAGTTGGAAGGGACCTTGGAGGTCTTCTAGTCCAACCCCATGCTCAAGCAGGAGACTGTCTACAATTTCCACCAAATTGTTGTCCAATTTCCACCAAATTGTTGTCCAATCTCTTCTTTAAAATATCCAGTGTTGGAGCACCCACAACGTCTGTAGGTAGGCTGTTCCACTGATTAATTTTTCTCACTGTTAGGAAGTTTCTCCTTAATTCCAAGTTGCTTCTCTCCTTGATGAGTTTCCATCTGTTGCTTCTTGTCCTGCCTGCAGGCGCTTTGGAGAATATGTTGACTCCCCCTTCTTTGTGGCAGCCCCTGAGATACTGGAAGGCTGCTATCATGTCACCCTTCATCCTTCTCTTCCTTAAACTAGACATACCCAATTCCAGCAACCGTTCTTCATGTTTTAGCCTCCAGTCCCCTAATCATCTTTGTTGCTCTTCTCTGCACTCTTTCTAGAGCCTCAACATCTTTTTTTACATCGTGGTGACCAAAACTGGATACCATATTCCAAATGTGGCTTTTCTGGGAGAGTGTCAAAGCGCAGTGTCAATTTTGTCTCTGCAGGGATGATGTTCCATAGGGAGGGAGCCACCACGGAGAAGGCCCTTCTTGGTCCACCAGATGGACCTCCTTAAGAAAGGGGACCTGTAACATCCCCTGGCTCTCCACCTCTGGTGGGTTGGGTAGTTCTAACTTGGAAAAGACGGTCCGCCAAGTAATGGGTTCAAGTCCCCCATAAGCCACAGCAGCTGCCTGGTTGCTGTTAAGGCTGTCACTCACTCTCAGCTCGACCCGCCTTACAAATTTCCTTTTATGGGAAAAATAGATCTTAGGCTACCTATAGATATCAATGCATGCCCCATCAAAATGCGAAATATGGAAACGGTTGGGAACCCGGAAGGGTACAAATCCAGCTGGGGGATGTCCCTGCCCAAGCAGGGTCTCAGGTGGCAGGGGATGATGGGAAGCAAGCCCGTCCAATGTTTATGAGCTGTGCCTCACCCATGTCCTCCTCCTCTGTGTCCTTCTTTTGAAGCATTGAGATCGGGAACTGCATCGCGGTGCAAGTCTGCATGCTACAGATACCCATCCTGGTGCTCTTCGCCGTCTTCTACGTGAGTAAGAGAGGGAGGATCTGCGAGAGATCCACGGTCTTTCAGAGAGGGAGGCCCTGGAATGCCTGGAAATGGGGAAATGCCTGGAATGCCTGGAAATGGGGCCCATCTTTCTGAGTCAGTCTGGGTCTCTACTCTTGTCATCTTGGAAGAGGGGTACATTCCGGAGGAGCAAGAGACAGTGAGGTTCAGATAGTTTGTGTGTGAGAAAGAGGGTGAAGACGGGTCTTCCTCAATAGTTCCCAGAGTAAAAGCTTTATGAGATGTTGGCATGCTTTAGTTGGCAGTGTCTTTCTTGGTGTGGGGATTCTGACCTTCCCTCCCTTCCCCTTCCTTCCTTCCTTCCTCCCTCCCTCCCTCCCTCCCTCCCTCCCTGTAGTCTCAGGAGGGAGGGGCTGCATTCTAGAGGAGCAAGAGACAGTGAAGTTCAGATAGTTCGTGTGTGAGAAAGAGGGTGAAGACGGGTCCTCCTCAATAGTTCCCAGAATAAAAGCTTTATGAGATGTTAGCATGCTTTAGTTGGCAGCGTCTTTCTTGGTTTGGGGAGTATGACCTTCCCTCCCTTTCCCTTTCCTTCCTTCCTTCCTCCCTCCCTCTTTCCCTCTCTGGAGTCTCAGTAGGGAGGAGCTGCGTTCTAGAGGAGCAAGAGACAGTGAAATTCAGACAGTTTGTGTGTGAGAAAGAGAGTGAAGACGGCTCCTCCTCAATAGTTCCCAGAGTACACACTTTATGGTTGCGTTAGCGTGCTTTAGTTTGGCAAGATTCTGTCTATGGGTGAGGAAGAATAAAGAGATCTGCTTGGAAGAATGACAAGATGTCTGTCTTGGTTTTGGGAGCCCGACATCAATCTAGCCACGCTAAAGCATAATTTATACTCGTCTCGAGGGAGGTGGGAGTCGTCTTCTCTGTTTCGTCCCTTTCTTGTGCGTTCTTTTGTCCTTTTCCCCTCCCCTTTTCTTTTCTGGTTGTCAACTTATGACCATAACTGAGCCCCAGAATTAAGTCCTGGCAGTCATAAAGCAGGTTATAAAGTGACCTCACTTTAGAACCACAACCTGGTTTTCCCAGGCACGGTTGGTAAGTGGATGAAGCTAAAGAGCTGCCTGCCGAAGGGAGATGAAATCCACAGGGCCGGGCTGCAGAGAAGCTCAGATCCTTGTAGGGAAGGCAGCAGAGAAGGTTGCAAATGAGGATCACGTGATTGCAGTCATGTGACTGGGGGGGGCGCTGCGATAGTGATAGGTTTAGGTGGGGGGGAGTCCTGTGTCCCTTTGTTCAGCATCATCATAATTTTGAATAGTTTGTCTAATTAAAGTTGGGCAACTTTAATACAAAATATTGTAAAAGAAGGCCACTGGATTTCAGCCCTCGGTCCTTGGGGCTGCCTGTAGATTGATGCGTTCCTTTCCTTTGGAGCAGCCCACCGACTTCATCCTGGTCTTCAGCGACCTCCATGTCTACGCCAGCATGTTCAGCGTGGTCCTCATGAATTACATCTTTATGGATGGCAAGTGTGATTACTTCCAAGGTGAGAACTTTTCCAGAAAGAGATAAGAAAAGGACTGTGAGGTCCTTGGTGGTCTCTGAGCTTGGTGGCTTTCTTGCAGACGTTTGATGATCCAACTAGGGAACACCATCAGTGCTAAAAGGGAGAGTCTGTAAACCGCTTAGAGAGGGCTGTAAGGCACGGTGGAGCGATACATAAGTCTAAGCACTATTGCTAAATGGGAAAGAAGGAAAGAAGGAAGGAAGGAAGGAAGGAAGGAAGGAAGGAAGGAAGGAAAAGGGAGGGAGAGTGGGAGGGAAGGAAGGAGGGAGGGAGGAAGGAAAAGGAAGGGAGGGAAGGAGAGAGGGAAGGAAGGAAGGGCCGTGGTGGCGCAGTGGCTAGAATGCAGTATTGCAGGCAAACTCTGCTCACAGCCTGGAGTTTGATCCTGACTGGCTCAAGGTGGACTCAGCCTTCCATCCTGCCGAAATCTGTAAAATGAAGTCCCAGATTATTTGGGGGGGAGCAACAGGCTGATTCTGTAAACCACTGAAGCAGTATATAAGTCTAAGTGCTATTGCTAAAAAGGAAGGCAGGGAGGGAGGGAGGGAGGGAGGTTGGAAGGAAGGAAGGAAGGAAGGAAGGAAAAGGAAGGAAGGAAGGAAGGGAACAGCTGTGGTGGCATAGCAGTTAGAATGCAGTACTGCAAGCAATCTCTGCCCACTGCCAGCAGTTTGATCCTGACCATTTCAAGGTCGACTCAGCCTTCCGTCCTTCCCAGGTTGATAAAATAGGGACCCAGATTGTTGGGGGACAACAGGCTGACTCTGTAAACCGCTTAGAGAGGACTGAAAAGCCTGTGAAGCAGTACGTAAGTGCTATTGCTAAACGTATTTGAGATACTTCAGGCTGAGAACGGCTGCTCCAGTCACCCAATGTCCACGGCTGAGGAGGGGGCTACTTATCTCCTGTTAACTGTCCATGTTGTTGTCTCTCTCCCACCCAGGTACCGTGTTGGTGACGGTCTATTTCATCCTCCTGGCTGTGTATTATTTTGCCCCTTCTCCTGCTGGCTGCTGAGCCAACGGCTCCCCTGGGCTTCCGTATTCCTGCCTCCTGATATAGCAGTCGCTTCCCGCAAGCGCTTCTATCCGAGCAATGACTGTCTCGTAGGGAGGTGCTCGGGACAGACTTTAATGAGTATCCTTTTAGATTTATCTCCAAGGCAGCCATTGACCTTTTCCAGCTCATGAGCCTCTCGGGGGTCCTTCCTGTATCGAAAAGCTGTAGGAGCTGCAGAAGACGTTGGCCAACTCTTGGTGACCAACAAAGAGAGTTTCGGTGCAGTAAAGCAGCGATGTGGATGCCTCCGACGGACGAGCGTGCTGGTGTTTTTCAACACGGATTAAAGATGTGCTGCCGTTTCATTGTAGCTACCTCAAGCTTTTGTCGTGCGGCCCCCTGCTGCAGGCAAAGACACACACACACACCCCAAAGTCGAGAACCGCCCCTGATCATGAGACAGAGCATGAAATAAAGGAAGCCGATTTTGAACGTCGTCTTCGGAGTGCGTTGGTGATGGTATCTTTTGCTTCGTAGACATCGCGGGAGAATACTCTTGAAGACAGGTGTGTCCAACCTTGGCCACTTTACTACTTGGGGACTTGCAACAAGTCCTCAAGTCGTAAAGTGGCCAAGGTTGGAGACCCCTGCTCTAAGAGGCGATGTAGAATCAGCACGTCCTCCCACGGTCCATTTCTGTCATTCTGCAGGTAGTCCTCGATTTACGGCTGTAATTTGAGCGAGGAATTATGGTCGTATGTTGTGCTGGTTGTTAAGCTGGTTATCCCATTAAGAGAATAATGGAAGGTCAGTGTTGGAAGGGACCTTGGAGGTTTTCTAGTCCAAGCAGGAGACCCTATACCAATATCCAGTCTCTTCTTTAAAAGTTCCAAGTGTTGGAACACCCACAACTTCTGAAGCAAGTCGTTCCACTGATTGTTTACGCTGTCAGGAAATTTCTCCTTCGTTCTAGGTTTGGTTCTCTCCTCGATTAGTTTCCATCCGTTGCTTCTTGTCCTGCCTTCTGGTGCTTTGGAAAATAGTGTGACCTCCTCTTCTTTGTGGCAGCCCCTCAAATACAGGAACACTGCTGTCATGTCCCCTCTCATCCTTCTTTTCACTAGACTAGCCATACCCAATTGCAGTGAAAAGGCGGCCTTCAGAACTCATCCGTCTTGTCTACCAGTGAGTGAAGGGTTGTTTGATGAAGGGAGTGGAGTAATTTCTGTTGCTAAGTGAGACACGGTTTCATTGAATTTTGCCCAGTTATGCAACCGTTCTTGCTGGTTGTGAAGCAAATCGTTGCGGTTGTTAGTCACACGGTCATTAAGCGAATCCGGCTTCCCCCATTGGCTTTGCTTGTCAGACGGTTGCAAAAGGGGATCAAGTGACCCCAGGACGCAGCAACCGTCATAAATACAGGTCAGTTGCCCAGAGTTCGAATTTTGATCACGCGACACTGGGGACGCTGCAACGGTCATCAGTGTGAAAAACGTCAGTTGCTTTTTTCAGTGCTGCTGCGACCTTGACCCATCCTTAAACGAATGGTTGTAAAGAGAGGAGTACATGCACACACGAGACATCCCCCCCAAAATGCCACTTCCCCCCAGCCTCACCGGTTCCAGAAACGGGCAGCATTCCAGCCGCAAAGACAACTGTGAACAACAACCAGCAAGAGTTTTCAAGGATATTTTTTAAAAAAACAAACAAATCGGAACCCTCATTTCTCAAGCTACGGTTTGATGCAGGTTAGTGTGAACATTTTACAGCATTAATTCCAACAAACATTCAGAACCACAATCAAGACAAAAGAGAGGGTTTTAATTTTTTCCAGCATTTTTTTTTTTTTAAAAAGGCAAGTACTCTCCAGAGCGATACAGGTCGTCCTCGCCTTAACGACCACAACCCAAAGGTCAAAACTTCTGTTCACTAAGTGAGACATTTGTTAAAGTGAGTTTTGCCCCATTTTATGTCCTTCCTTGCCTCAGTTGTGAAGTGAATCACTGCAGTTAAGTTAGTAACCCGGTTAAGTGAAGCTGGCTTCTCCACGGATGTTTGCTTGTCAGGAGGTCGCAAAACGGGGATTCCCACGAGTTCCTCCGGGACGCTGCAACCGTCATAAATATGAATCTGTAAATAAGTGTCTGAATTTTGATCACAATCACATGTTGGGGAATGCCGCGACGGTCGTAACTATGAAAACGGTCACAAGTCACTTTTCCCCCCCGTGTCATCGTAACTTTGAACGCTAAGTGAACTGTCATAAGTCGAGGACTTAACCTGTACTGGGACTTTTTGCTCATACGTGAGACGCACCCGCGATGACGCGACCTTTCCGGAGAATGACAACCTGGCAATCAAAACACTCTTTTCGAGAGAACATCCCCCATCCGATTGGAAGGACGTTTCAAAATTTTATTTTTTTAAATAAAAAATAATAACCGAAGCAAAAACTTCAAACAAAGGCCAGTTGGTAGGAAGAGAAATTAATTGCCGATACAGCTACAGCACTGAACGTAGATCCCTCCCCGCCCGTTTACACACACAAGCACACTTGCAACGGGTGTGGGTGTGTGTAAAACAGCGTTATCTTGACGATTCTTATTTTTTGGAATAATTCTTCTCGTTTGGGGTGTTGCTAGGAAAGGCAACTTAGCAAGGATTTTTTCCAGGTCACATCGACAAAACTCAGACTGGGGCATTTGGGTAGGAAAGGGCAACAAAGGACACACACACACCCCTTTTACACAATTGCAAGGGGCAGCCCCCATTGTCGCTCTCCGTAAAAGGACCACCGAGAAACGACAAAAGCGGGGCTGGGGTTCCTCCGATTCCCTGCCGGGAAGCAGGAAAACGGCCTCACCAGATTCCAGAGGGAGGCGAGGCCAGTCCGCGGTGCGCTGACCGCAGGAATACCACCTCTTACGAAAGGGGAAGTCGAGGCCCGAAACAGGAAGGCCATTACCGGATCCTCGCCTTACACGACTACAAGCGTGCAGCAAAACCCAGTACAGGTAGTTCTCAACTTACAACCACGAGCCCCAAATTTCCGTGGCTTAAGGGAGACATTTAACAAACGGGTTTCCCCCGTTTTACGACCGTTCCCGCTACAGTGGTTAAGTGAGTCACGTAGTCACCCCGTGGACTTTGCTTGTCGGGACGTCAAAAAAAGGGGATTCACATGAGAGTTAATGGGAGTTAAGTTGTCAAGTGGGGAATCCTGCAACGGTCATTAAACGTGAAAAAACAGTCGAGTCGCTTTTTTCCCCATTGCCTTTGGTCACTTCCGCACGGTCACTAAACGAACTGCGCTCAAGCCGAGGGCTGCCTGCACAAATCGTCTGAGCGACAGCAGCTTTTCGTTCATGATGTATTTTTATAGGTCTCCATAAATTAAAAATTTTTAAAAAAAGAAGCAGAGTTTAATAAATTCTCAAATCAATATAGAAAAAAAAAATATAGGCAGCGGGAAAGGCATCCAAAGTACTTGGCGTGTAAGGCTGGAGAAGCGGAGGGGGGACGCTTTGGGCCTTCTCCTCCTCCACCTAGTCCGGGGTGTGTTCTCCGCAGGACCACGGAGAGGAAACGAGAACGGGCGAGGGATGGAGGGAGGGGAGGGATGGGGGGGGAGGGAGAAAGGACTTTTTTTCTTTTTTTAAATTAGCGCGCCGGCCTGCGGGACGTTTCATTTCAAGCGTTCGATGAGCCCCTGCGTCAGTCCGAGGTGCAGAAGCTGAGATCGGCTGAGGTTGGCTAAATGGGGGTAAAAGATCAGCAGCTTCTCCCAAGAGAGTTCCAGCAGGCTGGGCACCACCAGCCACATCTTAAAGAGAGAGCCAGTCCGTCTGTTCCGGTGAATGTCCACCACGCCTCCGTGGACGTACATGCAGCCGGCCTGCGGAAAAAAGGAAAAGAAAAAAAATGCGGTCAGGACCGGGTCTCGCAAAGCTTCTAAGCCCCTGCCTGATCTTTTCTGGCAGCCCCCCAAGAATAGAAGAGAGAATGGCATCATTGGGAGGGACCTCAGAGGTCTTCTAGTCCAGCCCCCTGCTCAGGGAGGAAGCCCTATACAATTTCAGACAAATGGCTGTCCAGTCTCTTCCTAAACACTTGCAGTGTTGGAGCATTCACCGCTTCTGGAGGCAGGTTGTTCCACTGGTTAATTGTTCTCACTGCCAGGAAGTTTCTCCTTAGTTCTAGGTTGCTTCTCTCCTTGATTAGTTTCCATCCGTTGCTTCTCGTCCTGCCTTCAGGCGCTTTTGGGGAATAGCTTGACTCCCTCTTCTTTGGGGCAGCCCCTGAGATACTGGAAGGCTGCTATCATGTCCCCCCTCGTCCTTCTCTTCATTAAACTAGACAGACCCAATTCCAGCAACCGTTCCTTATATGTTTTAGCCTCCAGTCCCCTGATCATCCTTGTTGCTCTTCTCTGCACTCTTTCCAGAGTCTCAACATCTTTTTTACATCGTGGTGACCAAAACTAGACGCCGTATTCCAAGTGTGGCCTTACCAATGGAAGCTCTGAGGGGTCTAAAGCAGTGTTTCCCAATCTGGACATTTTTTAAGATGTGTGGACTTCAACTCTCAGAATTCCCCAGCCGGTCTGGAGACCCCAGGGTGACAGGGAGCCCACCAAGGGGTCAGGGTGATGGCTGTCCCCAGGAGGGTGGGGTGGGGGGCAACCTCTTACCGGAGTGACAGCAGCACAGTGGAAATAAACGGGCTCGGGCATCAAGGCGGGCAGTTTCACCCACTGGAACGTCTGCAGGCTCAGTCTCCAGATGTCGCCCAGGATCACCTCTCCATTGTATCCCCCGCAGACAAAGACATCTGAGAGAAGACCGGAGGGTATTTTTTCCCCATCAGTAGGTCAATCATGGGATGAGGAATTA